AGTGCCTTCTAGTTGAAATGGACTATTTCACGAAGTGGCGGAAGCCAAGCCCCTAGCCAGCATCAGAGATATTGATACAAGGAAGTTTGTCTAGAGGAATATTATCACCAGATTTGGAATTCCACACATGCTTGTTTCGGATAATGGCACACAATTCGATAGTGGTCCCTTCAGAGCTTTCTGTCAATAATATAGAATTTGAAACCACTATTCCACCCTAGCTTATCCTTAGAGCAATGGACAAGCAGAAATATCCAACAAGACAATTTTGGATGGAATCAAGAAAGGTTAGAGGATGCTAAAGGGAGATGGGTAGAGGAGCTATAAAGTGTTTTGTGGATGTACCGAACCACACCTTGGCGCTCAACTGGCGAAACCCCCTTCACCCTAGATTATGGAATGGAAGTAGTAATTCCGTTAGAGATCGGCTTACTTACCCTTAGAATCGAATCGGTTGAAAACAACAGTAATGATGCATTTATCACCTAAGATCTTGACCTAGTAGAGGAGAAAAGAGAACAAGCAGCTATAAGGATGACTTCTTATCGACATCAAATGTCCCAAGCTTATAACAAAAAATTTAAATCTCGGTCTTTCATACTGAGAGACTTGGTTATTAAACATATGCTGGGATCGGCAAAGAACCTAACGCATGGAAAGCTTGGAGCAAACTGGAAGGGTCCATACAGAATAGCCCAAGTAGGGGGCAGTGGGTATTATGAGCTCGAAACCTTGGACCATAGGGTAGTGCCTCACCCCTAGAACACAGCTAACCTTAGAAAGTTCTATTTCTAAAAAGTACCTTTTTTGAATAGAACTCTGAAGTGCCCTTAGGAACTTAAGGGTAACCCTTAAGGGTTAAGTTATTAGCAACTGTACCGATATGAATTGGGGATATTAATAAAGATTTATGAAGATTCACCAACTTATTTCTTTTCTAGTTTATGTATGTCCTAGTGTTAAGGCAGGGAGACAAAAAATTCTGATAAAAGTTATGCGCTTAAATTAGGCGCAGCCACCCGATATAATCCAAGCCCGCAGCAAGGCATGACGATGTAAGAATCATCTCAATTTTTTATTCCTCCTACTGTGTTGTTTCATCTAGCTGAGTTGGGCAAGCCAGCTTCCAATAATTCATCTAGGGACATTGCCATCTATGAAGTGGTCCTAGAGGTAGGTTTGAAATTCCCTACGTTTGTGTGTCGTATCTTGGCGCAATTGTGTCTCATGCCAAGGAATTTAACTGTAAATGGTTGGAGAGGATTGTTAGCATTTCTTTCATTGTGGAAATGAGTGCATGGCTTGAGTGCCTCTCCTACTTGCGAAGAATTTTTTGCGGCCTATAAATTATAGGAGAACCCCACTCCTAATCGAGGTGGTAACACATTTCTTCGAGGGTAGGAAAGTTGATTAATGGACTATACTCTAACTTTCATAGTTTGAAGACTCAAATTTTATTCTTGAGAGGAGAGTGGGCTACCGAGGAGGATCACGCCATGGATCTAGCAAGGTGGGGTGTGCCCAAGAGGATAGGTATAAATCTTTCCTTTTCTTATCACCATTCAGTCGATGTGTTCTTTATGTCTTCATTAGGAATTTAACTATTTTTTAGGTTTGCTAGAGTTGTCAACAAATTAGGGGAAGAGGCTTTAGGCTTTGAGGGTCCACCTTGTTAGGGATTATACGGATCCATTAAGGTGGGGTGCGCCCAAAAGGATAGGTATAAATCCTTCCTTTTCTTATCACCATTCAGTCAATGTGTTCTTTATGTCTTCACCAAGAATTTAACTATTTTTTTAGGTTTGCGAGAGTTGTCAACAAATTAGGGGAAGAGGCTTTAGGCTTTGAGGGTCCACCTTGTTAGGGATTGTACGGTTTTCATGGCTGGAAAGGGTCAAGCTAGAGTTTTCCCATCAGGAGGTGTTTCCACTCCATTTTCTTTGCAGGCTCGTGGCTCTTCTTCCAAGAAGAGAGGTAAGTAATTTTTATGGTGAATATGATGGTATTTTTGATTTCTAAAAATGCCTCCCTTTACTTAGGTTCCATAGTAATTAGATCGAGGGTGGAGGATCTATACTCCGCCAGGGCTGCTCAGGTGACTCCTCCACCCAAGAGGGTAAGATTTGATGATGCCCCCACAGCTTCCTCGAAAGTGCCTCCTACACCTATTCAAGTTATCCAGGCATTTCCCTTGGCTACCCCTACCAGTTAGGGCATATATAGAAGTGGGGATTCCTTTTTCCACATAGACCGGAGCATTGCTTGCTTCTTCAGTGTCCAATTGTGGTACACTATCTATACTTTGGGACATGACTATTGCTAAGGATCAGCTCTCAAGTTTCGTGTTGCCTTAGACATTAAAGAAGTTAGCTATCAGGGTACCGATGGTATTATTGACACCATGATAGAGGGTTTGGCCAAGGTAATCATATGTACTTCTTTTCTATATAGAATATGGTTTCTCAAATCCTCTAATGACATTGACCTTTTTCTCTTTTTGCATGTTTGTAGGTGTCCATGAATGCTACGTATCTTTTTGCAAGGGCCACCCATTACATGAACGTGTATCGATGACTCTAATGAAAGAGAGACATACACTACAGGCTGTTGAGGAGTAGTTGAGGGTGGCTTACAAGAGAGTTACACCTCTCGAGGCTGAGCTTTTGACAGCTTATAAAGAGTGATTAAGCTAAAGGCTGAGACTGAGGCTATTTATTCGAGAGTAGAGATAGAGTTATGGTCAACTCATGAGAAGGCTGTCAGAGCTGAGACAGAGTTACGGGTTGCTCATGAGAGGGTTACCACAACAGAGGCAAAGCTGTGAATATCTCATGAGAGGGCTACCAGAGTAGAGGCTGATCTTAAGAAAAAGAGAGTAGGACGGATGTTGTAGAGAAGGTTGTTCATGACTTGCAGGATAGTGTAGCAGATGTTTTCATTGATAGTTATGAGTAGTTCAGGGGGAAAGCTTCATCTTCCTTTCCCAGCATAGACTTTTCTGCATTTGTCCCATATGAGGAGCTAGGTGTAGGTGGTGATGACAATGGAGAATGTTTGTTAGACAACGAAAGTAGCCAGAGTGTTGAGGAGAATGTTTGATAGATTGTCTCTCTTTTTTTTGTGTCAAATTGTGTTGTTTGTTTGTTTTTGAACTTTTGTGAAATGAAAAGCTAGAAAATTTCTATAATCCATCCTTGCGCCTTTATTTAATAACTACTTGTGGTAAACACCGGTGGGTAGGTGGCCTCCCAAAAAGTACAAAATGGTTACACAAAATAAAAACAAACTCTTGCTGCTTTGTACTGGTACATTTGTCTTGTCGCATTATTAGTAGTAATTCTTCAGGTATTCGGCATTCCATGGATAGGGTAAAACCTTTTCCTCAGAATTTTGGATTCTATAAGTGCCTAACCTCACAGTCTCTGTCACAGTGTAAGGCCCATACCAGTTTGGTGCTAACTTTCCCTCTCGTGAGTCCTTAGTGGCTAGTATTACCTTTTTAAAGACCAAGTCTTTAGGTAAAAAGGATAGAGACTTCACCGTCGAGTTGTATTTCTTGGTCATGCGGTGCATGTATTTCGCATTTCTGATCGTGACCATCTCGCTCCTCCTTTCTTGAATAAAATATGAACAGAGTATACAAGTTCCAACCCATAGCTATAATCTCATAGTTTTCACTGTGCTTATTCTCTTTGATATACTGACAACATCCAAAGCTTTAGCTCTTTCTTGTATACTAGAGTTGCACTCACTAAAGAGGAAATTTTTGGACTCTTTGATATACTTAACAACCTCCAAATCTTTAGCTAATTCTTATATACTAGAGTTACACCCACTACAGAGGAAAATTTTGGATGTTGCGTCTAGTATAAATACGTCACTATGGTTTAACGATGATCGAATAAAAGGCACTTGGTCAGCATGTAGACATGTCAATTATATGCACAAGTGATTAGATAAGAAACAAAGAAAACCATAATCATGTGGCCTAGATACAAGGGCTCAGTTTCTACCTATTTAGAGAAATAGTCAATGGCCACCACAACAAATTTACACTGCCTGTGGTTCATAGGTAGAGAGCCTAGGATGTCAATACCCCACTTGGAGAATAGCTAAGGGCTAATAATGGTGGTCAACTCTTTTGGTTGTTGTCTCAGCACAGTGGCAAAGCGTTGACACTTATAACATTTTTTCACAAAGTCTTGAACATCTCCAATCATGTTAGGCTAGAAGTAGCGTTGTGGGCTAGTGAGTGTCCTCCATAATGATTTACGCATATTCCCTCGTGAATCTCTCTCATGGCGTAGTTGGACTCATCTAGAGAGAAGCAATGGAGCAATGATAGCAAGTAGTTTTTCTTGTACAGGGTTCCTTATAGGATAACATATCTAGATGCCATTAATCTTAGTTTCTTGGTTTCCTTTGGTTCGTCTGGGAGTGTGCGCTCCTTTAAATATGATTGGATAGGTGTAGTCCAATCTGGGTCTGTAGTTGTGCAGTTGACATTCTCCATATTTGTTTTGTGCCTACTTGGCTCAAATTGGTGAACTATAAAGGCGGGGCCTGGTGGGATGTTTGAGGATGAGGCAAACTTAGCGAGTGGATTTGTCATCATATTACCCTCTCTTGGCACATGTTGAATATGAAAATGGTGGAATTTTACCAATAAGGTATGTACCATTGCTAGGTACTCTTGCATCATTTTCTCCCTTGCTTTAGAATCTTCCTTTACCTGGTTTACTACAAGCTAGGAGTCACTGTGGTGGTGAAATGGTGGACCTCCATTTTGATTGCCAATTTCAACCTTGAGATGAGAGCCTCATATTCTACCTCATTGTTGGATGCTAAAAATTGAAAAGATAGGACATATTTTAGGGGGAGTTCTATCAAGGCTGATGAGTACGAGGCCTATTCCACTCCCTTGATCGATTGATGAACTGTCTACATAGTCTTAAGTGATGTGGGGACAAAGTTTTGGGATGAGTTGACATTGAATTAAGGGGCGTAGGCAGGACATCGAGGGGTGTCTTTCCTCTACGAGGGTTGTAGGCACCGAGAGTGAGGGAGGTAGGGTGGAAGCATGGAACGGGTGCCAGAGGTTAAGTAGGGGCACTAGAGGTGGAGCAAGTAGCGTCATGGGTGCTGTCGGTGCAGACGCTGGTGCAGACAATGTGAGCTTAACCACAAAATTTACTTCTGCTTATGTTTTAATGGCTACTATTCATTGATATCATACCCTTGCTAACATAATATGTGGGCTTTGGTATCTCTTCATCCTCTCTAACAAGGACAGAGCTTATGGTAGATGGTGAGATAACAAGGTACAAGTACAAGACATCTCCAAATATGACATATGAGAGTAAGGAAGGCACAACAAGATAGCCTTTTAGCTTCTGAAACTCTTGTTTTGCATCTGGTCCCTATTCGAAAGTTTTTGGGAGGATCCTTAAACACTTATTAGTAGATTTCAAGACAAATATGTTGAGTGTCGTTACTCTTCCATTGAGATGCTGGACCTTTTTCACAGTAGTGGGGGACTTCATGTCCAAAATGACTTTGATCTTATTTGGGTTAGTCTCGTTGCCTCTCTTGTTGACAATGAAGCCCAAAAAATTTCTTGATCCCACGCCAAAGGCTTTCTTCTTAGGATTCATCTTCATCCTGTAAGACCTCAAGATGTCAAAGGTTTGTTGTAAGTGTGTCACATGGTCCGCTGCTTCTAGGCTCTTTACAAGCATGTTGTCGACATATGCTTCTATAGTTCTCCCGATCTGTGACTCAAACATCTTTTTTACAAGTCACTGGTATGTGGCTCTAGCATTTTTTAGTCCAAATGGCATGACTTTGTAATAGTTGGTTCCCTTAGGAGTGTTGAAATACGTCTTCTACTAATCTGGTGGGTACATGCTGATTAGGTTATATTTGGAATAGGCATCTAGGAAATTAAGCAACTCATGGCTAGCCGTGACATCGATGAGGATGTTTATGCATGGCAATAAGTAGCTATCTTTTGGGCAGACTTTGTTTAGGTTAGTGAAATCTAAGTAGAGGCACCACTTCCCACTGGCCTTAGTAACCATTACCACATTAGATACCCAGACTACGTAGGCCACCTCTCTAATTTACTGCTAAAAGCTTTTCGACCTCTTCCTCCATGGTCTGCACCCTTTTTTTTAGCAAAGATTTTTTGCTTTTGATGGACTAGCTTGTACCTAGGATCTATATTGAATCGACGGGTGGCAAATTCAGGGCCAATGCCTTCAAGGTCTTTGTGAGACCAAGAAAATACATTAATATTCTGTCTCAAAAAATTAATAAGTTTGCGGGCTCGATCTTCAGGAAGTAAGGAGCCAATATAGACTCTTCCCTCTAGCTACTGGTGTGAGCTCCTCCACTAGCACGGCTCTCTCCAGTGTGCTGTCATCCCGAGGGTTAAGCACTTCTACTTGCAAGGCCTCTTGAGGCATCTTGGCCCTCATAGAAGCCACATAGCACTCCCTTGCTACGACTTGGTCTCAATGAATTTCTGTAATTCCACATGGGGTTGGAAAATGTAGAATAAGATGATAGGTGGATGGCACTCCTCCTCAAGATATTGAGTGTTGGATGCTCGAAGATGATGTTGTAGGCGGACGGGCAATCCATCACTAAGAAATTTACCATTATAGTTGAACTTCTAGGCGTCATGCCCGTCATGATTGGTAGAGTAACAGAGCCCAAGGGGTAGACTTTCTCTCCTGAAAAACCAATGAGAAGCTTCCTGATGGGTTAGAGCCTCTCCCTGCCAAGACGGAGACTATCTTTCACCGTTGCGAATAGAATATTAGTGGAGTTGCCATTGTCCATCAGGAAACTTTTCACTTGATAGTGGGCTACCATCATAGTCAATATCAACGGATCATCGCGGGGGTTTTAGATCCCTTTTAGATCTTTTTCTGAGCATGAGATGATCCCACCATCATGGTCAAAATATGCCCAATTAAGGCAGTGAATGACGTGAAGGCTTGTCACTCCCTCTAAGGTGCAAGGCCGAGGCAGTCCTTGGCTGACATTCTTTCTGTACTCCTCCTTTTCTTCTCAGTTTCTCTCCTGTCTTCATGGAGCTTCTTTCTCTTCTCCCTTCCACGTGAGGACTCACCTCACTTGGCTTTGGTGACATCCTCAACGTTCATGTATTTATGTGTTTTACAAAAGTTCTAGCATGCTCTTCGATGGGAGCTTCAAAATAGAAAATAAAAAATTAGATGAGCGCAAGCCATTGATGAAGGTAGTCATGGTGACTTTGTCATCCGACTTTTCAATCTGAAGGACCTCCTTGTTAAAATGAGTAAGGTAACTCCTTAGAATTTCCTCCCATTCTTGCTTAATGTTGAGAAAATGGGATATAGGCTTTTATGCCGGCATCCTCCTATGAAATGGGAGATGAATGATTTGCTTAGTTCGACAAAAGAACTCATGGATCCAGGTCTAAGCTTGGTGAACCATTAGCATGCAGACCCCTTAAGGATAGTGGGAAAAACCTTGCACATAATCTTGTCCTATATGTTGTGCACCTGCATAAGTGATTTGTAGGTGTCAAGGTGGTCTAGTAGATCTTTTGAACCGTCAAAAACTTCTATTGTCAACATTCTAAACTTTAGAGGGAGGAGGTAGGTGGCCACATCCGCTATGAATGGTTATAAGGTGCTCAAACGTTTTTGGCTCTCTTGCCTTCATAACATTGAAAATGTTACCCATACTAATTTGATTTTCTTGTCCTGGTGGTTAGGGATGCCTTCTGGGTTATTGTAGTGGTTTTTATGGTCCACATATGTTTTCCACTCGCCTTCTTAGAATGGAGGGTCATTGGCATGGAAGGATTGAGCAAGTGTACAAGGAAGGGGAGCCAGGGCACACTAAGGTGGGGCGTTTGGGGCATCCTAGAGAGGTGGTGCACCTTAGCTCCCTTGGCGTGCTGGCCGGGGCATTATGCTTCCTGGTCGATGGGGTGTAAAGCCTCCTAGCTACTAGGGCGCGGCTCCTCCTGACTGTTGGGGCACGACCTACCTAGCGAGTATCAATCAGAGGATTTGTTGGTCTTGGTTTACTAATAATTGTATGGTCTCTAATAGTTGTGCCTCAACAACAAGGTTTGCCGAGGGTAGCGGGACCTCATCCTGATGTGGTTGATCATCATTTTGTTAACTCATAGCCCTTATGGTGATAGCCATAAAATGGAAAGAGAGTAGGAAAAATGGGAAAACAATAGGATGAAAACTCTAGTCATTCCCACAAACGACGCCAAACTGATGATGCACAAAAGTGGGATTATGCAAAATCAATCAAGGATGAAGTAAAACGGCTTAACACAAGCAAACATAAAGATTAGGTGGTTCGATTTGAGTGAACTACTCCACTGGGAATAGCTAGGGTGGTCGGATAATCTTATTACTCAAGAGACGTGCTGAGATGTGAGTGATGCCCCCCATGTGTAGGCGGAACTTACAATTTATAGGCAAGTGAAGTTGGCCCTAAAGGGCCCTAACAGAGGCACCATCCTTGTAATAGAGAGAATGATGATTCCGTGAAGCTTGCCCTATATATGTAACGGGAGAGGTGATAGCAGGATAATTCCTTGAAGCTTGCCCTACCTCGTAACGGGCAAGGTGATTTTGCAAGACTAGTGATGTGCCCCTAATGATTGTGTCCCTACGGATTCCCTCTTTTGAGATGGAGAATCTCACGTGCGATGGTGACGAGCTGGATTTTTCAGGAAGGTGGGCTTCAGCCCAACTGAATTTCTAACTAGGCCTTTGTTGGTCCGCATTTGTGGTCTGGGCTTGGTCTACAATTTTGGGTCTGGCGTGGACTGATCCCATCAGTATTGTTCCTCCGGTATTATAAATTTCTTTCACAGATTGCTATTTTTTTTTCACACCTTGGCATGCATGGTATATATAGTGATAGTGGCATATTATCCTATTATTTACATCACTAAAATGGTGTTCATTATTTTTGAATATGTGTAGCCAAAATGGTGATAGTGATAATGTAGACAACTATGTTTACGACAATATTGATACTCTTGATGGAGTTTTAAGCAATGACAGAGGGGTCTCATGTTGTTTTTTCAGTTTTGTTAATGTTGAAATATTTTGGGTGCAATTGCCTACCAAAAAATTGTTTTGCAGTGACATAAATCTAGTTTTTTAGGTCCCATAGCATGATTTGAATTTTTAGTATAAAATGAGTTCAATCATACCTTAATATATCTAAATTTTGACAGGTACTAGTTGCATAATAGTTGGTTTGACAAAGTTTGTATTGGTTTGTTTAAAAAGACTTGCCTTACCGGCTGTGATCAAAAGAAATAGAATGTGATTATATTGCATCAATATTTGTAGACTTCTCTACAATAAAGAGGATTATAGTACAAAGAAATAAATTTCGGTACCTTATCTCCTAAGTTAATTTATAATTTTTGTGAGTATTGACATAAATTTTAAAATTTGTTTACAATAAAAAAATTATTATTTTTGATTCTATTATAATTTTTAAGGTTTGAATTGTAATTTTTTAAGGCTAAATTACCATAAAGTTATGAATAACCTTTACAAATAATTAAAGAAAACCAACAATTTATAATAGTGGTATAGTACCAAATTTATATTTTCAATATCATAAATCTCTTGGTAATTTGTATTGTTAGAACATCTTCAACCATGACTCAAATTTTTATTCAAATTTAAATTAAAATTTGAGTAAAAATTTTGATTTGACACAAAGGGCTCGAATGGACAAATTTAAATTTTAAAAAAAAATCCAAATTTAAATAAGGACAAACCCAAATTTAAAAAAGAGTAAAGATGAGAATTATATTTTTAAAAGATGGGGAAATCTTACCATTAAAAATTTGAGTAAGGATTTGAGTCTCCCATTATTTGAATAAAAAAATGAGTCTCTATTGATTTGCTCTAAGTTTGAGTTCAAAGTTAGAGATGCTTTTATAATAAACATGCTATAAAAAATTGGGAAATATAATTACGAGGTAGAGAAAGAGTAAACAGTGAGCAACAAGTCTACAGAGTAGTTAGATAAAATAGATAGTATAGTTAGAATAACTTTGTAAAAAAAAATTCTTTGAAATAAAGAATGTAATAAAGTCTGAACCTTCATTTACTTCATTCCTCATATAGAGAGAGCAAACAAAAGTTCAAAAACGAATCTTCACACGTCAAACTCAACCCCA